GTGATGTTGTGCAGTTTGGTGTCCAGCTGCACGCAGTTGTGGTAGATTCTCATCTTTGTTGGTGTAAACGTGATCACGGATCCTTCGCCTGGGAGACGTGGATCAGCTAAGTCAATTTGGTACAATGACGTTGTGATAAGATATTGGTTGGCGTGCATCGCGTCCTGCTTCTGGGCGTCCTGGTATTCCTGCGATGAGAATATGAGAATAAAGACGTTTACATTAACTTCATTCAGAGTGAGAGCAAGGAGTCCTACCTGTTGTTGTTGTTCGATCGGCTCCGGAGCCTGCTCTTCGCCGAGGTAGAGGCGGAGAAAATGATGCTGTGTTGTGTTGCCGGCATGATCGAAGCTTCGTACGGTATCTTCGCTCATCCAGAGCAGGCGCGCGCGAATTCGAACACTGGAACGCACGTCTGGGTTGCTAACGTCATTTGAGTTAATGAAGTCGCGAATCTCTATGTTGGCGGTACGGCATGTGAGTGAGTATGTTTACCGGAGCGACTAAAACGCTTACATACCGTCGATTGTAGTGAGGATTTCCTGTGGGTGTTGGCTCATGCTCTTTTTCATCTTTTTGAGAGGGGATTCGTACATTTGGCTGTCCACGTTGGTCGGTAGCGTTGGTGTGGGTGAGTTTGAAGCGTGCTGGGTGTTGACAACACTCTTGACGACTTGCTTGTGTCGTTTCATTGGTTTCGATAGGCGGCGCGGTTGACCCCTTTTGGCGTGTGGCTGACAAAACGACAATGGCTAGGAATGGCTACTGCAAATTGGGACAAGGTGGATTTGTTGGGGTGGTGGTGGGACCAGGTTCATAGCTTGAAAGTCAAGGTAGATAATGAGGCTGATCATTGCTGTTGTGGTGGTGGAACCAGATTCATAGCTTAAAGGTCAAGGTAGATAGTGAGGTTGATCATTGCGTTGTTCTTGACATTTTCAGGAGCTGTCAGCCATGTACGTAGCTTGAATGGACGAGTCAGTGATCGACCCCGCATTTAGGCCGGTCGTATCTACAGCGTAAAGAACGCTTTGTCGTGGAGGTTTGGTTAAATGTTTCATCAGGAGTGCTGTGCAAGTTGGGACTAGGTGGCTTTGTTCGTACTTAAAAGTGTGAGTCTGGTCCCACCACAGCAACAGTCGCTAATGGTTGGTCAAGATACTGAAGTTGATCATTGCGTTGAAACTGTCATCCGTGTACGTAGCTTGAATGGACAAGTCAGTTATCGATAGCGTATTTAGGGACAAGGTGGATTTGTTGGTGGTGGGACCAGGTTCTTAGCTTGAAAGTCAAGGTAGATAGTGAGGTTGATCATTGCGTTGTTCTTGACATTTTCAGGGTTGTCAGCTGTGTACGTAGCTTGAATGGACAAGTCAGTTATCGATAGAGCATTTAGGTCGCTCGAAATTATCACTCATAACATCTATCTACAACGCAAGGCACTCGTCGTCGTAGAGTTCTCGCTTGTTAATAAAGTGTCATGACTGCGCGGTGTAATAATGAATTCAACATGAACACGTCGTGTCCCTAGTTTGATTTCATATTTGTCGTATGTGTGAGACGAGATAACTCTGTTTAAACACAGTGTTCAAGTTCTCGCTTTGCAGCAAACAGCATGAGCAACCGTAGCGATCTCAGCAACAAAACCGTGGATCCGAAGATGGTGGAACGGCGTCGCCGAAATGCCGAAGCTGCGCGTCGATATCGTGCTCGACGAACACCAGAAGATCGCGAAAGGCATCGACAACAAGAGCGTATACGGCGTCGTGAGAGGCGGCAACGTTCGACTGCACCTTCGACGTCAATGCCAGCACTTCGGCAAAGATCAGAACCTGCAACCGTTGTTGTAAATGAACTTGACGTGCCTTCAACACCTGCATGGGGAGACCGCGACGTTCCGCAACTACGACCGGTGTCTTCAGTGACTCAGGAAAGCTTATTAGAGCGACTGCGTGGAGCGTTGGGCGCGTCGGGATTGGATGAGACAGTGTGCGCAGTGTGCGATACATGGGTTCTACGTACACACTGCCACACCGTTGTCGTCTCAGAGTTTGTTCAAATGAATGACATTCAAACGCTTTTGAGCAGTCGAGACGAAAATCTCATTCCACCTCTCGTGAGTGAGTATGATTGTTCAAGTATGCTCCCTGAGCTCGAGGGCATCCTGCTTTCTAAGCGTGGAGTTGATCAAGCGGGCCGTAGTCTTCACGTTTGTAATCTGTGCGATGATAGCTTGAAAAAGCGGGAGATTCCAAAGTTTGCAATCAAGAACGGGTTTTGCATCAGTTCACTGCCGACCAATCTGCAGCAGGCGACGTTACCCGAACGTGTGATGACTCAGCTCGTCTCTGTAATGGCCGTCACCAGGGTCATGCGTGGAGGTGCACATCGCGCGATTCGTTCTCATTGTCTTACGTTTGACGCGACGCCGGGACCACAAGCGATGTTGTTGCCGACGACAATGCGCGGCGTGACTTCGTATCGTGTCGTCATGGCGGGGCCATTCACTACCATCCAACAAGCTCGTGTACGAAAGATGCATCGCGTGCGACGAACAATGGTCGAGGACCTGCTGCGGTTTTATCGTATCCATAACTCGCTCTACGAGCACATAGCTGTCGATTGCTCACAGCTAGCCGAAGACGAAGTTCCAGTTGATATGTTGAGTGAAGAACCAGACGCTGCAATCGAGGCAGAAGACGTTGATGTAGAAGGCAGCCGCGTTGGGGGCGTCTTCGCCAGCGAGTCTACTGTCGTCGAGGATGAAGTGGCGGAGCGGCGCGTGGTGTTCGTGTCTGAAGATCGCGAGGTCGCTACTAGGAGTGAGTGTTCGGCCACCGACGACCGCACAGGTTCAGCTGAGAGTGCACATACGGCTGTTGAGTTCTTGAACGAGACTTCGTCAGCTCCGCAATTCTTAGTTCGTCACTCTAGCCGGTTTTCCTCGAGCCGTAAAGAGCTTTTTGCTCAGATGTTCCCCCACCTTTTTCCAAACGGCCGCGGTCACCCAGGCGAGACGCGGCCCGTTCCAGTATCACTTGAAGCTTGCATTCGTCACTATGGTATGCTGAGCTCACGGCGGTTTGCTGAAGACGAACTGTTCATGCTAGTTGCCTTCGACCACATATCGTTAAAGAAAATGTACACTCAAGTGGCGCTCAAGTGCAAACGGAACCCCGCACTTTTCGAGCCTTTCAGTGACATGTCGGAGGCAGACTTGGCGCAGGCGCTCAAGCAGAAAGAGTTTTACCGGCAAGGTCAAACGCGTGCGTCTCGTGGCGAGCAGTCGATTGCAGAGAGACTGCTGCACTCAGTCGATATCAGCGGAGGAACGATCTGGGGTAGTG